TCTAAATAATTAATATACTTATACGAACTTATTGTAAAGTAATTCAAAATGTAAGATAAGAAAATTATATGAATAAAAAATAGCATATTTAATATAAAAATATGGTCAAATATGTGTATGGTCATCTCACAAGAAATAATAGTAGGTTGTATGGATGCCTTACAATTACAATTAACCAGCAACAAGCTATGAGAGTCTCATAGCTTGTTGCTAGTTAATTGAGGTATTATTTCTATTATATTTCAAACCTAAAACCTCACATGGAGCTCTTTGCTTGAATTTCTTAGATTTTACAAATTTCAATAAATTTTAGTTAACATTCAAATTATACAGTCTATTCAAATAAAATTAAAAGGCGCTAATTACATACGGATCACCTGAAACATTAATATTTTCAAATTAATCACCCAGGTGATTTTCTTAACTACCAAATCAATGTATTTATGTGTGTCAGAATTAAATTATTAAGAATTTGATAAAAATGATCAATGTGGGTTAGGTTTTTACCATGAATTTTAATATTTGAGTAAGAATTTGAAAAATGGATGAAAGATGATGGTTGATTTGGAAATAGGAAGTTCGGGTAATTTGTATGTAATTGCCCCAATGAAAAAGATGTACTTGATAACTCTAAATTGGGCCAACACTTAACAATGTCTCCATTTGCATAATAATATTCCAAAATATGAATATTTATTTTGACTATTTCTGAAAATGATCTCTTTAACCTTCCAATGTCTTGAAAGGCATAACATCTAGCACATATGATGGTTGAATTTAACATGTGAGAGACCTCAAAAATACTTATATTACAAGCCAAAGTGATTCTAATGCCTTAAAAGCGCACCCATCACAAAATTCATGTACATTTTAAGTAGTTGTATCATTGTCATCAATGACACGATAGTATAACTTAGCATCATGATAGAGTATAAAACAAAAGAATGGTCTATATTTTTATTTTGAAACTTAACTTGCAAGTATAAATTGAATATTGTTCTATTTCTATAAAATGGAATGCCTCAAAATGCAAAGATATATGAGAAGATCCTTTGTTGCACCCCACATCACATTGAATTATGAGGCACTCCAAGATTTAATGATAACTAAAGCTTCTTTATAAACTTTAAAAATCTAAACATCCCTAGAATGCAAGTATCAATCATTACTCAATACACCTAAAGATGTAAAATTTCTTCACATGGTATGTACATGGTTAATGCCTAATTCCAACCAAAGTCCCAATCTCACTATCATATGTATTTTATAGTATAATGCTAATAGCAATGATTGTATACAAAATTTCTTAATATGCACACAAGATTTCATAATGTACAGTAAATAAAATTCCATTATAACATAAATGAAAGGAGCATGCTTATTTAAAAATCTATCAATCATTGTAGATAAAATTTCCAGTCATATAAACAGATTCACCATAATATTTATTAAATAAAGTAACATCATATCATGCATTTTGGCTTGTTCTAGTGATGGATGTTTTCAATCTACTTCTCCGTTCACTTAAATGCCTAATTATCTTTTTTTATGTCATTTGACTTATTTTGATATAAATAAGCTATGCTCTTACTAACAAAATTCTTCTTATAGATAAATATTTTTTCTATTAGTTTCTTTCTAACAAATGGCCCCGTACCTGCTTATCTTTGCTAACACCCCTAAAACTTAAAGATTGCATATTTTTATATCAGAGAGAAATTGTGCACTTTGTTTTAATGAATTTTATTAGATAGGCTTATTATGTGAATGTTTTCCCTAAAATTATATCCACAAAAAATATTTATATTACCCAAAGTTAGGTTTTTCCCCCTATCCATCATTGTCTTATCTTCTTTACTAAATGTTGCTATTATTTTCTAACACTTTATGAGCAATGTAACAAGTATATGCTAAATCAAACGATCAAACATCTCACTTTTCCAAAATGCAACATAATCTTAATAACAAACCTCAAGATTGTAAATTTCATGAACTTCATAACCGGGAATAAGTTTTAACATTGGTTTGTTATAAAATGAGTGTTAAATATAATAAAAAGTATCCACCTCAATTGTTTACAATACCCCATAAAATAAATATAAGAAGGATAAAAATAACAAATAATCGCAAAGACTCCAAGATTTAATAGCTTTGCTACAATCAAGTTTACACCAATCGAATATGATAGGGAGTATAGCATACAATTTAAAAATTAATTCATACCAAACCTTAACAAAATCTCGATTACAAGCATACTCAATATAAAAAAGAATATTGAAAACTTAATGATACATATTATCTTCAATAAACTCCATTAAGAAGGGATTAACCCTGAAAAAAATCATGATGAAAGAGTGAGACTTTTATGTCCTAGTTTTACACAAATATCTCACACACGAACAAGTAAAATAAGAGAACACAAAAGACACGAGTTTTTTTTGTGGAAATCTTGGGGAAAAAAATTGCAGGGCTTGGCTCAAATGAATCTATTCACTATATAATGGCAAGTACTAGGATATATTCTTCTCTTTTACTGAAGACTATGAAATTAGAAAATAATATGGGCAAACTTAATCTTTTATGCTTGCAGTAGAGTTAGAGATGATGAAAAATGAAGAAGTAGATTTGATGATAGTGATCAAATAATCAAGTTAGATAATGACGATCAGACACTGTTAGCTAGCTAGAGGCGGTTCCTGGTGGTTGTTAGTAATTGGTGTTGGGCAAAATTTTAAAAATTTTCAAATATCATTTTTTTGTTATTTTTCTCACTTTTTTTATTTTTGAAATATTTGCAAGTTTGTCCATCGTCGTATACTTCTATTTTTTTAATAAGTTTCTTTTTTGAATCATATGAATGATTAGGAGAAGAGAGGAACCAAAAAAATATGACAAATGACAAAGGTGGACAAACAAGAGAAAGAACGTGGAGAACTTTCAAGCAGAAAACAACGCGAAGATAAGTCAAACATTTACGTCTAAATAGAATTGGATCAAAATTTCTTGTCCTAAATATCCACAAAAGAATGTCTATGAAAGCTACCCATAACTAGAGATTTATGTGTGCTTGCCTATTCT